ATTGCACCTATGTGCTTATAGGTGTGACTTCTCCCTGATGGGCTGTGAACTCTTCGAGGGCAGGGACCCCATTTAGTTTTTCTTTTGCTCTCTAGCACGCAGTTCTAAATAGGGGTTTGTTGAAAGAAAAACAACAGATCTTCCTGGCTCCCGAGCTGTGCACCATCATCTGAGCTTCCAAGTAGCCATCTGGATGTCAAAATTAGCCACCTGCTCCAAAAGCATCACGCAGAAGCTTGTGTTGGGAAGGGATTTTTGGAGCAGAGGGAGCACTAGGCTCCAGCTCCCTTTCTCCACTTGCTGGCCAGGACTGCTCCTTCCCAGCCAAGGAAAGGATGACCCTGACACCCTCTGACCAAGGTCTCCATTCTTCTTTAGGGCTGGCCCTCCTGCTGTGGCTGGGTAAGTGTCCCTTGTGTGGGTGCGGGCTGCAGGGTATGGATTGGGAGACATTAGCCAGGGCAGGGCCCGTCTCTTACTTCCCTGGCATTCCAGGAACAGCAACCAAAATTGTTACTTGACCAACTAGAGCCAGTACCGCCTTGGGATTGCCCACTATGTGCCTGAGAATGTGAACCCCTGCCTCTGCACACACATCATCTCTGCCTGAACTGGGACAAGGCCTCTCTCTGAAGAGGGGTTCTGAGAGAGGCTAAATACACCCCAGTGGAGGACGTGGATCTCAGCCTTTCCAGCTCAAAGCCTGATTTCTTTAGTATAAAATCAGATCTCTCTTTCAGGGAAAACACATCAGCCAAGTCACAGAGACTGGAGTAGGATAGCATAGTGAAAGTTCATAGATTTACAGTGATCAATGTAACTTTGAGGACCAATGTTTGCTTTGATGTTCTTACGTCCTCTTCTTCCATGACTGATTTTTCTGATTACTAGATTCAATTGCACGCAGTTTGCAGGACTGGGAGCCATTTTTGTCTCTTTAATATATCCTTTCTTTTTTTTATTTTTCTGCTCTGGACACTATTTGTTCATTTTAAAGTTTAACTCTCACAGCATGACCAAATTCCTATCATTTTCAAGTTTTTGGGAAACAACTCACTGTTGTCTCCAGAGACCAACAACAGCTTTTGGACCAAAGGACTCTAAACTGAGCACTTCACATCTTTCTTAAGAGCTGTGACCTTGTCACATGCCCACTGGTTCCTCCAGGCTGAGTCCAGTGTCCTCTGTTTCACAGGAAATGTATGAGGCTTTTGAGCAAGAGGCCACCCAGAGCAACGAGCCCAGACTGCTGATTTCTGCTGCTGTGTCAGCTGGCAGAGGTACCATTGAGACTGCCTACCAGATCCTGAGATGTCTAAGTAAGTAAACCCCAGAGCCCACGTTCAGAGCTAAGTGACCCTGGGACCTTTGCCAGGTATTGGAAAACACCCAGATACCAGTGGCCAATGCTCAGGTACCCTGGATAGAGGGGGCTCTATCTCAAAGGGATAAAATCACCCTAATGCCTGGGGAAGAGTCAGGGGAAGGCAGCATGAACTGTGACCTTGTTTCTAAATCTATCTCCAAGGTTCTCTACAGTAAAAGGCTAGTTGGAGAAAGTTAGTTGAGTCTCAAGCTTCTACAACTCCTAAAGGTCTGAGGGCAGCCAGATATTGATTATGGGTTTGAGTGCCTTCTATATACTAGGTGCTCTTGAGAGAAAGGTGAGGGAGAATGGAATAAAGAATACTAATGCATTAGGGAATCCTTATGGCATAATTACAAACAACATGTTTGGTAGTGATTAGGAGCTTTAGGGGCAGTGGAATGGAGAAGTGTGATTTTCCTTGAGTCATTTCTGTTCTCTTGTGCCCTCCCCCAACCACATAAGGTACATGGACCTCATCAATGTGATGACCTGCGACCTAAGGGGCTCCTGGGAGGGCTTCACAGGAGAGGACAGCTCCCTGTTTGCAGGACCCAACAACCAGGGAGACTGCAAATACTTTAATGTAGTGAGTGAAGAAGTGGATTCAGGAAGCCGGCCCTAGCAGGTATCTTCAAAGGATATCATGGGATCCCTGGCCCAGGTCTGAAAGGAAGGCCAAGGAATCTTGAGGGGACAGCTCATGTTACCTCCCTGCCCCTGTGACTAATTGGTAAGATAAATAAGATATCGTAGGATAATGGTATCCATTGATCTTTCACAAAAAAGGAAGAAGAATAGTGGTTTGGGATAATCCCAAACATTGGAGAATTTTTAAAAGTATCTTTTCCATTTACGCTAGGAGCACATTTCATGATCTACCTTGTTCCCACTCTTCCTTGCCTCCCTTCACCCTCTTCCTATCCCACGAGGCTTATCTTCCTAATTTGTATGGCTTAGACAGCTGTAATAATGAGTCTGCTTAATAATTAGTAGGTGGGTAAATGGGCTAGATGTGATTTCAGTGAAGATTTCAACCAGGGATTTAAAAGTCTCCTGGATGAATGTCCATGCTCAAACAATTTTGAGCACCATAGTAAGCCAGTTGGGAAGACAAGTAGATGCATGGCTGAACTTCAGTCATGCCCCAAATGCTGAGTCCAGTGTGTGGAGAAGGAGGATAAGAGAGCATTTCATCCCTAGTTGACACTGGGCCCTGCTACCTAAGCAATGGACCTCTTGACCAAGGATGCCTCTAACTGCTAGTTCTAGAAGGGATGATGTTCCATCCTTTCTACGAGGTTGGTTTGTGGAAGGGGCTTGACTGGATGTCGTACCTGGAGATACAAGGGAATCGGGCAGAAAACATGGTCTCCAAGGCCTCTGGCCACACACGTGGCTGCTTCCTAAGGGCGTCTTCCTCACCTTACTTTCAGGATTATGTGACAAACTACTGGAAGGGCCATGGTGCCCCTGCTGAGAAGCTGATGGTGGGCTTTGGGGCATATGCCCACACCTTCACTCTCACTAATCCTGCCAACCACGGCCTGGATGCTCCCATCTCTGGCCCTGGGAATGCTGGGCCCTATACTCAGGAGGCTTGGACTCTTGCCTACTTTCAGGTAATTTCCTCAGAGGACCCAGAGGACCAGAGAGACCCACTCTCTCTGTTCCCAAGATTGAAGATATGTCCACAGAGAAAGTCTATACTCTGATATCTAATACAGGGTACCCTGTTGTTGACTGCTCTGAATATACGTGGTAGGAAGAGAAAGGTAGAATAAATGATTGATAAAACATATTACATTTTAACCTTTTAAAGCAAATGTGCATCTTTAATACTAGTACTAGCTGATACTTACTGAGTGCAAAGGGAAAGCCAAGCTATATTCTAAGTGATTTTCATACATTGTCTCATTTAACACTCACAACAAACAATAAAGTACCAGCACGCTCCTTGTCTTGCACAAGAGGACACTGAGACACAGAGGGGTTAAGTGATTTGCTTCCGGTCACAGAACTAGTAAGTGGCACAGCTAGGATTCAAACTTAAGTTGTCTAGTTCCAGAACCTCAGACATTAACCATTATGCTCTACTGTGCCCTTGTTAGTTCCTTGGAGGCAAAAACTCTTTCAAATAAGAGAAGCAGGCAAATGTGTTTCAAAGGGGAACTGGGGCACAAAGCACAAAGAAGCTGCCTTGTCCACTGTCGTGCAGGAGCTTATTGGCAGGCACAGGACTGGAATTAATGTCTCATCTCTCTAGCCAGTGTACTCTGCTGTCCTGTTGGACAGGAAAAGCAAGGCAGGAATCTAGGTGACACTGGAACCAGCTGCTCTTATTTCCAGTAAAGATGGGTGGGGTGGGGTGTGTAACCCAGGAAGGAGAGGGAGGGAGGACGGAGAAGAGGCCTGAGCAGAGCAGGGCCCATCTGAGTCATGCGTACTCGTGCTGTGCCTGCCCCAGGTCTGCTCCTTCCTGAAAGGAGGCACGGAGGTGTGGAATGCCCCCCAGGAGGGGCACTATGTCTATAGGGGAAACCAGTGGATTGGGTATGACAACACCAAGAGCTTGCCCTCAAGGTGAGGCCCTCCACACCCTTCCTTCTACATGACTGGGGAGAGGTAGGGGACTTGAGTTACAACCACAGGAGACACCTAAGGGAGGTGAGACAAGGTGAGGCAAGACCCAGGGAGGCCCTGAAGTTTCCAGGTGAGCCAGTGACCCAGCTGCAGAGCCTGGCAGTTGGAGCAGCCCCTTCAGCTCTTTTCAATTGCAGTTGGCTTCTTTCCTCCCCTCAGCTCCTGCGCTTTCTCCTCCATCCCACTTTCTGGAGACTCTCCTGTGGCCCCCTCCCAGGCTCTGCTCTTGTCCTGATGCAGCTCTTCAATTCATGCTTCCTGAGGCAGGCATTCTTCCCCACTCCAAGGACCATGGTGTGGACCACAGGGTCTCTTCCTCTCCTTTGCTTTCTCCCGCCTATAACAAGTTCATACAGGCTGAGTTAAACCAGGAGGTCAGAGTTCCTCCGGGTTGTGTGGCTTCTGCCCACTGGCCTTTATATGCTCAGGTCTGGGAGGGTGTAGTTACTGCTCACCAACCTCAAGGCCCTTCACCCTACACCCTACACCCTTCCTGTCTGGGACCCTCTCTCTTTGCCCAGATATTATACTTTGCTGTGTGAAAGACCCTATATCTCTATGGTACTCCACTCAGAGTACCTGAAGCTCAGAGGAAGCTTCTCAGAAGGTGATTGATGATAACAGAGGGCAGAGGGGAAAGAGCTGCTTGGGGCCCAACACTCATTCTCCCTGACTTAGTGGTCCTAAAGTCCTTTCTTGCCTACAAATATGTCCATGAATCCCTCAAAGTCACTGTAAGAAAGCCACTCCCCTTCCATCCTCTCCATGACTGGATCATCATCCTCTCCGCTATCCTGCTGGAGGTGCTTCCAGCATTGGTGCAAGGACAACCCACAAGCCTCCTGGTTCTCTCCTACAGGCCAAATGGCTGCCAAAGAACAGCTTTGGAGGGGCCATAGTCTGGGCCATTGACCTGGGTGACTTTGCAGGCACTTTCTGTGGACAAGGCAAATACTCTCTCATGAATGCCCTCAAAGCTGCACTTGGTGTCTCCACTCCCAGTAAGTAGTGATGACTTACCACCCAAGAGATAGAAAACTAGACATGGTTAAGGAAGAAGCACTTTCTGTGGACAAGGCAAATACTCTCTCACGAATGCCCTCAAAGCTGCACTTGGTGTCTCCACTCCCAGTAAGTAGTGATGACTTACCACCCAAGAGATAGAAAACTAGACATGGTTAAGGAAGAAGAAAAGACCAGAGCTCCTCTAACCCTGCCATCAAGGAAGGCCTCCTCCAGATCTTCCAGCTGCCCTTGCATGTCCTTGTGGAATTGGCATTTAGGACCCAGAAAGCAAGACCCAGGTGGCCTTCTAGGAGGCAGCTTGTGAGTGACAGCCCTGGTGAGAGACAGACGTCCTATCAATATTGTGGAGGGTTCTCCTCCACTCAGGGGAGCTTCAGTAAAGTGAACTGAATACGCTAGAGCCTGGGTAGGGGAACACCTTGTTCCCTGTTCTTACCTGCTCAGCTCCAGCCTTAATGACCTTTGTGGAGCAGAGAAGACAAGCAAGGGAGGGATTAAAAAGTTAGGGGACAAGGAAAGGGAAAGGAGAGGGAGAACCCTGAAGAGGTCCAGTTATACCTGCACCAAGGTGAAAAGCAGAGCTACAGCTGGTCTCAATGCAGTTTTGTCCCAGTCCCATGGGCAAGTCCAGGAATCAAGAGGGGCTGCGAAGCTGCAGGGAAGCTGGTGGTTGGACGGTTACTCTATGTCAGGCCAGCTGGTTCTTTTGGATTTCATGTAATCCTTATAGGCACTCTTGGTGAAAGGTGATATTAGTCTACATAAAAATAAAAATTAATAATTACGTCGCACTTACTATGTTATATACCACCCACATTGGAAAATACCTAATATTCTAAGAGCCAATACTATCATCCTATCATTTCAGGGAGGAAATTGAGACTCAGAGAAGTATTAATACCTGTTCATGGTCACATAGCTTATGATAGAGCCAGGCTGTGAACTTGGGTATCCTTGATTCAGGCTCAGAGCATTAACCACTGGTTTAGGCAGGATGTGCACTAAGAGGAACCCACAATGACCTTACAGACATGATCCTCGTCCTGGGAAAGGAAACCACTCCTGAACATATAGCGACCTTTTCCTTCTCTCTTCAGGTTGCAGAGTGCCTACCCCTACCCTGGGCACCAGCTTGGCCCCCATGGTCACTGCGGCGCCCACAGTGGCAGTGATAGCGGTTGTGGATTCTGTACTGGGAAGTCCAATGGTCTCTATCCCAGCCCCACCAACAAGTGCGCCTTCTACAACTGTGTGAATGGCCACACCTATAAGGAGGCTTGTCAGTCAGGCCTGGTCCTTGACACCAGCTGCTGTTGCTGTAACTGGGCTTAAGTCATCCACCTGTTGGGTCCCTTGGGGACTGTAGGCGAGAAGGATGATTAAAGGGAAGTTTTGCATCTGAGTGCCAAGTTTTCTGTTTTGATTTATTAATCTGCATGATGCTGACTCGCATGTAAACAACAACCCCCACCTTCCTATTGCCCCCCCTTGTCCATGTGCTCCCAGGATGTGCCCAGAGGTTGAGGCTGGGAGAGAAGGAGGGGCCGGTGGTTGGGACCTCTCTGAGCAGTTCTGTGGGAAGTTCACGTACTCTGGGCCCCTCCTGAAGCAGCAGGGGAGACGAAACAGGCTCTAGGGGCAACAGGGATTAAACCCTTTCTCTTTCCCACAAATATGCCTCCAAAGGGTCCTACAGAAGGACCTAGAAGAGTGGCTGGACTCAGAACACTTAATTTATGGCATCATCTCCTTCAGGAACTCTTTCTTCACCAACTTTACTCACGTCCCTACTCTATGGCAAACAGTCCTAAGCAAGGACTGTTCCTTGTTGTTTTAAGGACAGACCATGATGGGCCACCTGCAGGATCGTCTGCACACACACGCGTAGGAAAAAAAGACTATCACCAATGATTTCAAGATTACCTCACTTGAAGCTCTGACTCGAGGGTGGGGCAAGGGCAATATAGGTAACCTAAACATTTGTACTCCCATAATATGCTGAAATAAAAAAGAAAAAAAAAGATTACCTCACTTTAAAAAAAATTAGTTCATTATAATCTTTATTGCCACACCACATCCCAAGGTACCCTTCAGTTCCCTTAGGGAAGGCAACAAGAGAGCTAAATGAAAAGCCATGTTACAGCAGGGATTAGAGGTCCTCCTTCTCCTACCACCTCCAGAGCTTGGCCTCTGCCCTTCCTCAAACCAGTGACTATGCCAAAGAAGATGAGGAAGAATGCGGTTCACCACCTCTTTGTTCAGCCATGCTAACCAGTTTATTGGGAGTTGGAGAATATGTAGATTATACCCTTTTGACAAAACTGGCATCATCAGTAAACAGAATCTCTGGAAGTTTATCCCATCCCTCCCATCTGGCAAGCTGGAGTATGAGCAGGATGTCTGTACATCTCTGTTTTTTTGGGATAGTCCCGATTAGCCATTGTTCCAGTTCCCATTCATTTAGCAATTGCGCAGGTTTAAAAATTTTATTATAAAATATTTTTATTACTATGGTATTAAAGTTATATGGAATGAATTTGATACATCTCCACTTTCTACTTTCTGACATCATCTGTAAACAGAATTCTTTAATATGTGGTTAAATCTGAACATTTACTAGTGATAACCTCTCTTTTTCCCTGGCCATTTTCTGACAAAGTTTAAATTATAGCCCTCCTTTCAATGACCACTTGCTGAGTGCTCGCTAATAAACTGACATGTGCTTGGATGGAAGTGGCTAGGGATAGCTATCTCCTTTGGTTCCCAGGACTGCTGGGGGAGGTACTGATAATGCTGGTGGACCAGCCAGTTGTGCCATGGCCTGTGAGATGCACAAAGCCATCAGACCACCAGTTGGTGGGATCAGTGAGAAATTATAGGTTAGGAGTATGTGGAATACAAATAGGGAAATAGAAGCCAAGCCATCATACCATTGAGCTTGTAGAGAGTAGTGTGAATGCTCTTGCTATGAGAGTTTTGTCATTTATTGTGTAGTATAGATCTACAACCAATTATTTTATTGTTTGGCAGCACTTTTGGTTGTGCAAATAAGTGCTTTTGTCAGCAATAAGCTAAAAAACTTAAATGCCTATATAATGAAAAATTAAGTAATGAATTTCCATTTTCTAAGAAAGTTGATGATGAATATATTAACATAACTTGCATATGATGTTGGTTAACATTTACCATCTACCACAGGGCTGTTAGATATGGCATAAAACCAAAAGACATAAATCTGCTGAACAAACATAAGCATCTACTTCAAAAATAGTAATTATTTTAAGAGGATTTTGCATAAAGATGATGATTTCAAAAAGGTAGGTGCCAAAAGTGCTTTTTCTATCACTAGGTCTATTGCCTGAATGTTTGTGTCTCCTTAAAATTCATTGAAATTTTGACCCCTAAGATGATGGTATTGGAAGTGAGGCCTTTGGGAGGTGACTGGGATTAGGGCTCTTATAAAAGTGACCCCAGAGAAGCTAGGTAGCTCCTTCTACTGTGTGAGGACACAGCTAGAAGTTACCATCTATAAACCAGAAAATGGGCCCTCACCAGATACTGAATCACTCCAATCCTTGATCTTGGATTCCAGCCTCCAAAGTGGGAAATAAATTTCTGTTTTTCACAATTTACCCAGTTTACAGTATTATGTTATAGCAGCCCAAATAGTCTAAGACACTTAGTAAAGCATAAATTTTCATTTAGGTGACCAAATGACTGATGATCCAAATTAATTTTTCTCTTCTATTCCAGGTTGTGTGTGTGTGTGTGTGTGTGTGTACATGTACAAAAGTGAAGCTCTATTTGCAGAACAACTTCACAAGCTTTTAAATAATACCAAATTTATATCAATGTCATCATATACTTCGAACAGAAAATCAGGTAAATTAATTCTAATAATGGCTAGGTGGTTGGATTCTTTTACCAGCCAGTTTATGAACTCAAACTAAAGCTTTTTGGTGGTTAATTTTGTTAAAGGATAAACATCTGACGTTATCATAAATGCTATTGTAAATTCAGTTTAAAAATTCAACAGTGAAAATTAATAATTTTTATAATGATAACATGAACTCAAATATTGATGGAGCACATTGTAAAAATAATATTCTTTCTAAATGTCTTAGTCCCTTTGTGCTGCTATAACAGAATATTACAGACTGGGTAATTTATTAAGAAGGAAAATTTATTTCTCACGGTTCTGGAGGCTAAGAAGTCTAAAATCAAGGCAATAGCGTTTGGTGTCTGGTAAGGTCCTTCTTGCCACGTTCCTCATATGGCAAAAGGCAGAGAGGCAAGCTAGCTGAACTGCTGAATGAAGCCTCTTTTAAAAGGGCCTTAATGTCATTCATGAGGGAGAAATCCTTATGGCGTAATCACCTCTTAAAGGCCCCACCTCTTAATACTTTCACATTGGCAACACCTGAATTTTGGAGGGGACACATGCAAACCATAGCAATGTGAAATATCTGACATTATTTTAAATGCTATTATAAATTCAGTTAAAAAGTTCAGCATTGAAAATTACTTATTTTGTGGTGATAATGGAGAATTCAAATATTGATAAAGTATAACTTTATGCAAAACCATAAAACAGTATTCTTTCCAATTTAAAAACAAAACCTATAGGGCAGCAATGTCCTAGGAATTGGTTGTAGGCCATAAATCACTCATTTACGTGTACCCACAAAACAATGATATTTTATCATTCAAAATAAAAGTTAGGTCAGGCACAGTGGCTCATGGCCATAATCCCAGCTCTTTGGGAGGCTGAGGTGGGAGAATCACTTGATGCCAGGAGTTCGAGATCAGCCCAAGCAACATAGCAAGACTGAATCTGTACAAAATATTTTTTAAAAATTAGCTGGGCATGGTGGTGTGTACCTGTAGGTCTAGCTACTTGGGGAGCTGAGGCTGGAGGATTGCTTGAGCCCAGGAGTTGGAGAGTACAGTGAGCTATGATCAAGCCACTACATTCCAGCCTGGGTGACAGAGCAAGACACTGTCTCAAAAAAAAAAAAAATCCAGCAAATGAAATTCCAAAATGCTTTAACTTTCGAAATTTTAGGAAGTTAATATTATTGAAAAAAGAATGTTGCAAATAGTAAGACTTTGAAAGGGGTGAACAAATTAAATGAGAAGTGTTCAAATGCTATATAATATATAAATTCTACAATTGTATTTTGAAATATTTCAATTTGTGGGAAGAATCTCTTGGATAAATTACTTTATGAACTATTTTTAATTAGAAATGTTTATTGCTATATTAGATTGGAAAGAAACCAAAGAGGCCTATGAGCTTGCAACGTTTAAATTTGGTGAAACGTTCACCACTTTGGGTGGACACTGTAAAAATTAAATAAATAAATAAATGTGGTGAAACATTTAAAAGAATCATAGAGATAACTTACTTGACAAATTTTGTCTTGTAAAGAAAGATATCTGTCAAAGAAAGGTGCTCTGGATAGAGGCAAAAAGAGCACCTATAAAATATTTGAGCTGAGATATTTAAACATTTTAATAGAAAAAATTAGAATTGAGAATATCTCCCATTTAACAGAATTTGCTCTGAGCATCTGTAGAGGAAATTTTTCTGAATTAATATTTCTCGATTAAAAGTTTCCTGGTCCATAAAGAAAACCAACAGAAGATGTTATAGGCTGAATTGTGTCCCTCCAAAATTCATATGTTATAGTGTTAGCTCCCACTACCACAGAATGTGACTGTATTTGGAGATAGAGCTTTTAAAGAGTTTACTAAGGTAAAACGGGGTCATTTGGGTGGGCTTAATCCAATATGATTAGTGTCCTCGTAAGAAGAGGAGATTAGGACACAGACACACACAGAGGGAAGACCATATGAAGACACATGGAGAAGATGGCCATCTACAAGCCAAGGAGAGAGGTTTTCAGAAGAAACCAATTCTAAACTGGGACTTCTACCCTTCAGAACTGTGAGGAAATTAATTTCTGTTGTTTAAGCCACCCAGTCTGCAGTACTTTGTTATGGCAACCCTAGCAAACTAACACAAGAGGCATTGGCATTTTTAAATTGATTAACCATTAAAATTAACTTTGAAAAAGATTGTAGGCAATATTATGAAAAGAAGTGTAAATAATAAAACCATATTGAAAAAACCTCTCTATTCTTCAGAAAAATGCCAGTGTCACAGTATCAGAAATAGAACCAAGAAAATGATTGAAGTTTGTGAATATGTAGCAAGAATAATTATTTAGAATTTTACATTTTTATTTACTATACAGATATTTATGTTTACATTTTAGAA